AGTTAGAATTTTTCAGTAACTGTTGCATATAAACTAACTTTTGCCTCAAGCTTTTCCATTAGCTCTCGTTCAATCCTCTCCTTTTCAAGTCTTGCTGCTTCTTCTTGTTCAGCTTGCAATCGGGCTTCCTCTGAAGATTGGGAAATATAACAACAGCATAATTACATTTTATTAAAATGAGACAAATTATTTTGTTACTAGCTGCAGTGACAAAGCAAGTATAATAGTAAACAACATAAGTAGGCATCTGCTATTGCCCAGAAATCTTCCAAATGATAAGAATTTGAAACATAGTACTAAAACCCACTACCTGTGGTGCTCCTCAACCAGTCCATGACAACACAAGTGGAGAAAGGGATCAGCAAGCCCTTGTTTCCCCCTCAAACAGTAGCAGGAGCACCCTCTTCCTTTACCTACAGCTTGAACAGGTTCTTAATCCAATGGTGAAACTGCCTGATCGGTTCAGTTTTAAGCTTCTCCTCCTTTCCTACATCTTTTGGTGGGAAACTCAATCTTAGAGTTATTTCTTTACTAAAATAGATGAAGTTTTAGGCATGTCTCATTGGCTGTCAATCCCCTACAGTTACTCCTGATCATGGGTTTAGCTTTTCTTTGCTGCCACAGGGACAGCAAAGGGATAGCAGACACCAGCCACCTCCTAACAATTGATGTACCTGTGTGTCTTCTCTGGAAAAAGTCCTCTTCAGAGAATTTCTCTTACCTACTGATATATAGGCTTGAGAGAAGAAAACCATAGAACACTGCACTTCTAACTCACTGAGAGTGTTTCAAAATGTAGTGGTAAGAGAGGAAGAAAATCTAATTCTCCCTGCTACTCTCACTCCCAGGTTCCTAATCACGGTAAAAATAACTAAAGGAAAAAGTGTGGCTGTAATAGGAAAGTGAGATGTGGGCAGCAGTAACAAGTAACACAGAATTTGTCCCACAGAAGAGAAGAGAGATGAATAACTTGTATTTGTGCAATACATTGATAACAGTGCCCATACAGTTAGGTGTATTACTTTTTGTCTAATTAAAATAAATGATTTGTACCATCACTTCCCCTGTAAATGAAGTACATAGTACCTTCCTCTTTCAGCCTCCTTTCTTCCTCTTCTTTCTGTAATCTCAGTTTTTCAGCTTTTTCTTTGCCACTGGACTTTTTCTTTGCAACAAATTAAAAGAAAACAAATGTCAGTATTACTTTCATACATCTGGGGAGGTGTTCACCCTCTGTAACCTGAGCTCTTTTAATGTGTTCCTTGAATCCAAATTAAGATTTTAGACTGCCATTGATGCCCTAAAATGGCAATATACATCCCACTCTCCATTTTTCTTTACATTTCATGATGTAATATATGCTCTTATACGTAATGGATCATTCTGTGCTAGGCATTCCTGAACACAGGAATATTATTTTGAATGTGGAAACGGAATAACAAGTAGATCTGATAAGAAAGGAGATGTTACAACTTCAAACATCTTAAGATACTTCTAGGAAATGCATTTTGGGACATTGGCAAGTCTTGTATTTAGAAGCATCTAAACCACAAAACAACAGAGCTCTCTCTACTGTTATAAAACCTAAACTGCAACTCAAAACAGTTAACTGCTCCAACCAGCACTAACCTCTAGGCTAATCCTAAAATAATAATATACTAAGTTTATGTTTCTCAGAAATTATCAAATCTTTGCATGAAGAACATTTCAATAATAAAAGACAAGGTAAACACCACACATAACCTACAGTCATGTAACCAAAAGGGAACACTTATTTTTGCCCTGTAATTCATAGGTCTCATTGATACCTCACTGATTTATAAAGATATATAAAAATGTAATAATATGCACAAAGCCAAGCTGTCTTCTAGAGACTTGAATAGCTATATGTAAAGCGTAATTCTCCCTCAGCATGAAGATATTAATGGCCCCTCACTTTTTTTTTCCCTCTCCAGCAAAAATTCAGATTCTTGGATGATTTTTTTAAAGTACTTTATGTTGACACAGTCTTATAGTGTTCAATCAAACGTGTAGGATCAGCAACGTCACTATAAAACTGCATTTAAAGACACACAAGGAAAATACTGATTTCCTATTGATGCAGTAGCAAATGCAGCCTAGAGTTATAACCCTCAACAAGTGCATATTTAGTAAAATCCAATTATATTTATTCAGTTTTACTCAGGGTGTACACAGGCAAATGCTGCCATTGCATATAATACACTGCAGTTAGTGTGGCTTGATTCCAGCTGGGGTTGATGGAATGATACCATGGAGGAGGGCTGCTCCTGAAGGCAGATGCTGCAAAGACAAGGCCTGAAAACAACACAATTAACAAACAAACAAGAACCATACACACACACAAAACAAAAAGAAAATAAAAAAAGAAAAAAGAAAAAAAAACAAAGAGACTACTATCAGAGATGAAAGAGAAAGATGGACCAAGAAGTAAATCAAAGCAAGTACATGGAGCTTGTGAAAACAAGGAAGCTGACCTCATAGTGAACTGCAATATGAATTCACAGCCAACAGTATTGCTTTAGTGGAGCAGATTTTTTTTTTTGCATACGTGAGGAAAAGAAAGAGTATTCTGCATAGTGTCCAATGTATGGAGAAAACAAGGAGTGACAGCAGGCTAAACAAAGGTTGAAAGCAAAGCTACAGATGACAAAATACAAGATAGCAGGAAGACAAATGACTTGTGTTTTGTGTACTGGCTGAACAATGGCATTCTGCTGCTGAAACGCCACTGAAAAGAAATTAAATGAAATCATGCATTTAATTTTTCAAAGCAGAGAAAATATGGAATGTAAATGAGTTCAGTAGATGTGGTAATGTGAAAAAGGAGACACATCATCTATTTAGACATCTGACCTTGATGTTGTATTTTCGAGAGCTGAAATTAGGATCCTAAATCCTCATACTCACTGGTGAGAGACAAGGGCTTACAAGGATTCAATCTGGGAAGGTAAAATGCCTAAACCAGTATGACTGTCATCCAAAGCATCAGCAAGTGAATATACTTGGATGGTATCACAATGTACAGGAGACCTAAGGACCAAAGGTATCTATTAGGAATGCAATTCTCCTTTTCAGCTGAGAAATGGGTGCAGAATTGTACCAGATCAGCACAGCACCCTTCTTGCAGAGGTGTAAACAGAGAAATAGAGAAAGAGATCCAACACCACTAACAGGGAGGAAGACCAAATGAAAACTTAAGTCCAAACACCTGCAAATGAACACGATGGCACATGAACTCTTTCCACCCATTCCACCTGAGTATTCTTTTAGTATGGTAAATATTGTTAAAAGCAAACCAATTTATTTAAGACATAAACAAGGAACACCTTTGTCATTCAGCACACAGAAAGTGTGTCCTCAATACTGTAATGTCGCGCTTTGATTTTGACAAGTATATTTTCAGAAACAAATAACTGCTTGGAAAGCTACTCAATTTATATTACTTTGCACAGCAATAAATAAATGCACAAACATAGTTTTGAACACAAAGTTTACCATGAAGCTTGAACAAAAACAATGGTGAAAGTTTAGTTCCAACAACAAACATACAGTCAGCAGTTAGCATCACATCTTGCCGTATTTGTTACCAAAACATTTATTTGCAAAAACTCTTCTACAACAGTCAACAAAAAACGTGATTCTACCTTTTGCAATTTCATAGAAGGGTCAGTTCCTTCCAATTGAAATAAAATAAAATAAAATAAAATAAAATAAAATAAAATCCAAATATCTTTCCTTCCAGTGAAAATGAAAAGATCATCTTGCTTCAATTACTTATAATCACTTTTAGTCAACTTGCTTTCACAATCTTATGACTTAATCTAGTACTGACAAATGTGAGATGTGCAATTCCCCAAAGAACACATTTGGATGTGTTCTTTCTGGGGGTGGGTATAGTTTCATTTTCATTGCAACTGAGAATGAGCAATGGACACGAACTAACAAAATCCCACCTCCTGTGGACTTCTGTCTGTTGTCCATCCCCCCTATGCATCAAGCTCAGTGGCCTGAAAGCCAGGACACCGGCTTGCTGCCCTGCCATCAAGTACCAAGACAAATGCTGTACCTGGGCCAAATTTGCCCCCTCTTCCTTAGCAGTTCAGCAGGTGTGCTACGCCGCCTCCTTGTGCAATGTGCACATGCGGAGTGTCACGGAGGCACCTGACCCTCTTTCCATCTGACCAACTGGCCAGGAAATAGGGTTCAAAAAAGAAATAAATCAATTTTAAAGAGCATACTATTGTCACAGCACCTTTATTATTGCAGAACAGCTTAAAAATATTTTGTTGATGTAAAGTTCAAAAATATCTGATGCTTACTTTAATTTCAGCATGAAACACTTAGACATTTTACTCACTGAATTTACAAAACAACAGGAAATAACAGCACACCACTGAAATGAGCACTGCAAGGTCCGAAGTGTTTTATATGAAATAGAGCATAACTTTACCTACCCACCTTTTTATTCTTTTTTGGACCCTAGAAGTTGAGGGAAGGAAAAAAAAAAAAAAAAGCATCAGAGATCAGGGTATAGAACATCACAAATCATTAGAAAAGCCAGTTACTCTGTAAAGCACGCTGAGACTGCCTGCCAAGAATGGATGATAATTTCAGTATCGGGGACAATTCGCTGCTAACACGATTCCAGCCCAGCATAATTAACTCTCGGGCTACAGCTGTATATTCCTGTTAGACACGCACCAAGCAGGCAGCTTAGCCCAGAGCACTATTTTAGTCCAAAAGCAAGAGGCTTTCAGCGGTTTCTGAGCCGGCCACCTGGCGCTGCCGACAGCCCCAACGATAACCCGCGCCGCGCCGCGACCACCACGGCCTGACCCCCTTCCCTCACGGGGACACCCCGCGGCAGCCGAGGCTGCTCAGGGCCGTCCGCAGTCGGCGACAGGCGGAGAGATGGCGCGACAGGGGGCGACACGAAGAGCAGGCCGCCCGCCCTCACCATGTCTCCGCCGCGTTGCCGGGGTGACGGCGGCGCCCAGCGGCGGGGCGGTGCCGCGCCGTGCGGCCCTGCCGTGAAGCGGCGCGCTGTTACGACAGGGCGCGCGGCCGGGGAGCCCCTGACCTTCCCCTCCGCACCGGGGGACCCAGTAAGTGCCCCCGCAAATAGCCCCGTCTGGGTAAGAACTGTAAACGGCCAAACCGTAATGGCTTACAGGAGGCTGGACCGGGATTTACGGACTTCCACAGAAGGCTAACAGCAAACTGATTGTTCTTCAGGTAAATTAAAGACGCAAGCAATCACGCAGGGCTGCAGAGTTCGGGGAAATGGGAGAATGGCCAGCTCGTTACGAGGGGAAGTGCTGAATCTTTACAAAAACGTAAGTGCTTTACATGCGCCGAGCTTAACCGGACAAAGCCCTGTTAACTGGAAGCCTGTCTAAAAGGAGTTTTTTCTTCTTCCCTCAAGCTGCTGTACCTCGGAAGGGAGTACCCCAAGGGAGCAGACTACTTTAGAAGCCGTTTGAAAGCAGCTTTTCTAAAAAATAAAGATGTGAAAGATCCCGAAAAAATCAAACAGCTAATTGCCCGAGGAGAATTTGTGATAAAAGAGTTGGAGGCTTTGTACTTCCTCAGAAAATACAGAGCAATGAAACAGCGCTACTATGATGACAAGGAGTAACCGGTATTAATGACTATGTAATGCTACAAATCCATAAAAGCAATCAATAAAAGAACTGTAACCTCAAAAGAAATGTAGACCCTTCCAACCCGTCTGAAGTACAAATTATGACTTTGCTTACCCTTAAGTAGGTGCTTGAAAGATCAGGGGGTCGTATTGTGTGGGTAGCAGGTTCTTCTTGAGTAGCTTTGACCTCCTTGATCTGAAACTTCACGTATGAAAATAGTTCTGCAGGGAGCAGCGGCAATGTGCTTCTGTTATATTTCAGTGTATGTGCTGAACAGTTAGCTGGTGATCAGCTGAGTGTTGGAATGCTGATTATTTGAGATGCTGCATGCCTCTTGTTACTTAGAGGATTAATCTGCTTTTTCAAGGCTTGTACATTTAAAGCATCATTGCCACCGTAACTGAGCACCTGCTTGAAAGGGAGGAAGTTCTCAAAAGTTTTAGCTACATCTGCTTCATGTGCAAGACTCCCTTCAGCAGGCTAACAGAGGTAGCATTACAGAGAACACTCTGGGAAGGGGATGGAGTAGAACAACAACGGTTTAAGTACTTAGATCCTACAGACAATTCCTGCGCCTACTGCTGATTTCTGAGGTTGCATAACTCCTGTAGCAGGAGTTTAGAACTTGATCCTCTCCTCTGGAAGAGAAGTTTGACCCTGGCTGTTTGATCCACAGCTAATTCTTTGTAGACTTTGGCTCAGCTAGCACAAACTTGTGCCATAACTGTTACTCTGTATATACTGTGGTGTGGTTGTTTTCGTTTTTTTTTCCCCACAGAACTAAATTACACTGGAGATGGAACAGAAATAATCTTTGAAATATAGGTAAGTACTCACTGCAGTAGAACTGCTGACAATAGCAACAGTCTATACCTGCATAAAGTCCAGAAAAGTAAAAAAATAAATAAATAAGGCCAATTAGAAGGTATGCTACCTTAAGATGAAGTATGTGCTTCAGTTTGTAGCACCATGTTGATTTGAAGAAGTATTCCCATATAATTTACTAACTCCTTTACAACATGTTGCACTTAAAACTATCCTGAACAAATAACCTCTACATGCAACATTCAACTTACCCTTCTTGGTAACTGGTAAAAGATTATCCAGATGGGATAACTAAGAAGGGTGAATGTGCAAGTTGTAGAACGGTAGCACTTCTACACTTTGTTCCCCTCATAGGACACAGGAGTGTCTTTTGTATTTTCTCTTAAGTTTACAAAAGGCATTTGATAGAAGAAAACATGCACAGCTGGGAATGAGCACAGCTCATATTTTAGACTTGTAGACAAATTTGAATCGAGTCTGCTGTTATGACTAACAAAAGCAAGGTCTCTGGGCATGGCTGGGAGTTAATAGCCCTTTAATTCCAGAAAAAAGGAACAAGATGTGCAACCTCACAAGGCTCTGCTCAGAGAACAGGATGCAAAAATAGCAGAGACCGCTAGAGGGATCAGTATTACAAAGCATTTTGTCAGAGTGCTGCAGCCCCTCTCAAGAGGAAGCGAACACCACTGGGAAAAGACAACCACTTTATGACAGGCAATGAGAAGTACAAGAAATAAACTGAAAACAATCGTCGAACACATGCAATTCATGGGTTACCCCATCACAAAGATGATGAACTGAAATTCTTGGAGAGAAAAGCAAACAGGGACAGAAATTCACAATACCTATTATTTTTTTTATTACATTACAATAAATAGGAGCAGTACAGTTTGACAAAAAAAATGACAAATTCCAGATCACTTCACAGCACATACTCCTAAAAACATTAAAAATTTTAAAACAAACAGTGGTCTTTTTTTTTTTTTTTTTTTTTAAACTTAGTATCTGGTACGACCAACATTCCGGTCACACAACCAAATGATGGAAAAACTGGATCACACTGCATATGTTCCACATCAAATAAAGCACAATGTACAAAATGTGCATGTTTCAGTTTACACTATACAAAAATAGTTAAAATACATTCCAGGTAAACATATTACATTAAGAAGTCATTCTAGTAAGAAGTTGGCACTCAAGAGGAAAAAGCAGAAGTATTTTCAACATGAAAACACGAGACAGTGGAATAAAGAAATGTTAGGAAAGATTTACCATCTATGTAGCTTTATGTAAACTTCAGACAAAATGATTTGTATGCAGTTTGATGGTCTTTGAAGGTAATAATTGTATTGCTTTATAAAGCAAAGAGTAGAAGATTGTGTGTCAGGATTTACCCATGACAGAGATCCTGTTATTGTAACAAATTCTATGCAGTGTAACTTTTTTTTTTCTTAAGTTAGGGAAAAAATTTAGGGCAATGAGACTGGTTAAAATAATTTTCAGTTCTGAGAAAACCAATGATAAAGTTGTTTACTGGTGTTACATAAAGCTACCATAAGGTGTTACTCCCTGACACATGGCAATTTAATGTATTAACATGGTAAGTGATTCACATGTTTATTTAGCAGTTACTATCAGAAATGATAGTACATCCAGGTATGTTTTTTGAAAGCATTTCAAATAGGGAAAAGACAGAATAATTATGAGATCAACGTGTGCAAGCTGCAATCCAACATGCTTCACCAAATCTTTACAAATAAGAAGACAAAACTGCACAACAGTGGCAAGGATGAGCTTTTTTTTTTTAATGTCTATAAGGGCAAACGTAAATAGACTGTAATAATTTGATTGGTAGCTACAGATCACACTTACTGAAAAAAGTACTTACATATAGCTTCATATTAGAGCTATATTGATCTGCATTTGATGATTAAGACATTTCTGCTAAATTTATTTCTCCTACCATTTTTAATTAAATTAATATGAGAATTTTAGACCAGCCCTAATTTTACATGCAGTGTGACTCAGTTACCAAAAATCGTAAGTCATCTTAGGATTGCTTCTGTTTGCTCAAGATATAGTATCCAGTTTTGCTATGTTCTTCATATATAATCAAGAGCATCTAAAATGTGCAAATAACCAGTTGTCTCCAATACATCTTTTAACATTGGATGCTGTGAAATGTTTTGTAACATTAAGAATTTGTCTGTATTCCTTACTGGCCCTTAAAATGTAGTGCTAGTCTCTCCTATTACCATTTTTCACAATCTTTCGTAATCTGAAGTATATTTCGTATCAAAGCTGAAAAGGGAGAGACTGGGTTTTGGTGGGGGCCTAGGGGAACAAGCAGTGCAGGCATGGAAAGGCATTCATTTGTTAAATTCTCAGCCACATTAGTTAAAGAACATGCAGCAATCCAGACAGTATACTTCCCCTAGCAGCTCTGCAGCTCTCTACCTAACAGTCACTGCTGTATTTTTCTTTTTTGTAGAAAGAAAAATATTACATTTATGCAGTTGCACCTTTGACATCATATAAAAGGTCTAAGTTACACTGGTATATTAGAATTCTACTGTGTAAAATTTCCGTGTAATGGTTTAGCTGTACTTTAGGTTACGGAAATGCTGCTCTTCCCTGTTCCAAACTTCCAGGATTTACTAGTCCAGTGTCCTGAATTACCCTACGTCAACGTCATGTTTAAGTTTTTAGGGTACACCAAAGCCACACTTTTAAATTCTACTCTGCAGCTGACTTAGGGACTAGTGTACCTTCTGGAACTGAGTCCATACTAAAAGCATCTAACAAGGCAACATTTGCAGTAAGATGACAGGAACTGGCAGCACTGCAATTACTGGCTCTTAGTTTGGTGCAGAATAGCTGGACTACTCGAGTACCAAAATGGAAAGCTTCTGCACAAATTCTGCATTAATTCTGATCAGAAAATAAAAAAGGAAAAAAAAAAATCACAAGAAAATATAACCACAGAAAAAGACAACATTAAAATCTTGGTCTAGTTTCATGACAGTCTAGACACTGGAATGCCACTCACCAACCATATAATCTGTGCAACAAAACCAGCACTTCACAAACATCACACAAACACTGAGTCTGGGAACAATGTTCTACACTGAAGATTTGTGCAAATTCCACACCATTTTATGGCATTGTGGATTTCCAAATTATTTGTATGAAGCAGCTAAATTCAAGCTCATTAATTCATTGATTTGAGGTTACTAGAATTTAAAAATCCCTCCCCTATTTTTACATAAAATAGGCATCTGGAAATATTTCATGCCACCCTTGGGGAAAAAAACAAATGGTTTTAATTTGCTATATAATTTAGGAGTCATTCTGATTTAATTCTTATGATAAATTCTGGATCCATGTATGAATTAACCTAAGAATTTGAATCAACTTATCTATTAAGGCTTTCTAGTTTTTCCTACAGACACTAAGGGTGAAATCTTGTACCTACTGAACAAAGCTACTTAAAGATAATTTACTGCTATGGGGTCAGGAGAGCTAAGATATCACCTTGGTGTCTTCAGACACAAGAAGTTAAGTGAAAGTCTTAAAGCAATGCATTAACAACAGCAAATCAATCTAATTAGAACTTTTACTTTTTCCATTGCCAGATGTGCATTATTGTCTTTTTTTTTAAATTTTCTTTTTTTTTTTTTATAGAAAAAATATAGTATTTAAGGAGTGACCGTGACAAATTGCAGTGAAAAATTTTTTGTGAAAGTTTTATCTTTACATTCATTAGAGTTGATCTGAAATGCTACAAGACTAGATGCCTAAAAGCAAAATCTACAGGAAGACTATAAAGGCTTCTGGTCTCTCTCTATTGCAGTCAGTCTAAATTAAAAGGAAGTCTGAAATGAAAGTCTCTTTTGCTAACTAATCTGTTTTCCCAACTAGATTTGAAAAAAAAAAAAAAAGAAAAGAAAAAAAGGGGATGTTAGAATGTGTAGAGCGTCATTTCATTGTTTTGTTTGCACACAGAACAAAAGTTCACAATCAGTAAGAAAAATAGGAAGTTAGCGACTGTGCATGCACCAAAGAGTCCTAAGACAGTTCTCAGGGTTTTTTTTTTTGTGTGTGTTTGTTGGTTGTTTTTTTGTTTGTTTGTTTGTTATTGTTTGTTTGTTTTGTTTTCTTCACAGGCATTGCTAGTTCAAGAACCAACACTCAAAGAATACTGGCACTTTAAGAGGAATGAAGTTTCCACTGTCATTTAAAACAAGCATTCAGGTAAAGCTAACAGGATCATGAAGCAGAAAGTAAAGTAATGCTAAAACAAATGCTAATAATTTAGTGTAATGTACAAAAATTACTTAAGTATGTCTTAAGAATAAGGATAAATTGTATTTACATAATTATACACTTTGTCTTTGTCTTCTTTTTCTTCTTTTTACCATCTTTGCTCATCTTCTCTTTGTGTTTTCTGATTTCTCGAACTAATGTATAGAAGGCATCATCAACACCCTGAAAAAACACAGAGGTGCACACATTAAGATCACATTAACAGACTTAATTGTCTAGGTAAGTACAGTCTGTTTTCATCTGACCAGATGAAGTGACTTCAGGTGAAGTGTGTTCAATCAGCACTGTTGCTGCCTGCCAGGAGAGCTGACACTGTCTTCTTGCCGAAGCCTTTACAACATCCCTAAATCAAGCTGTGCATTGGAGGAATTGCTGGGGCACCAACACCCTCTCGAGCATTTCTAGATTTTGGAAATGGGCACCTTGGGAAAAATGGATTGAGATGGATGGGGGACTACAGTTGTCTCCTGTCACATGAGATGCATGTCTAACTGCATCACGTCTAACTGCATCACTGTACATGGGCAGCAGGGCCCACAGGAGAGCAGCTCTAGGCAACAGCCAGCCAGTCAAGCATTTGAACAAGTCCTGGCTACAGGCGTTCCTCTCCTGAGGTCTGAGGAACACTAAGACACCCAAATGAACTATTCTGACACCAGCAACAGCTAGCATCATCTGCCTGCCCTTTCTCTACTATTCCCAAGCTGGACTTAGAGCAGCCTGCGGGTGAGTTACTGCCCAGGAGCTGACCACAGACATCTGCAGATACAACTCCGTTAATAATGTGACTCGGGAACATGTACTGCTCTCCTGTCCACATAGGTGGGGCATATGTTGTCCCACCTCAGACTAGAAAAGCACAGGTACCGCATCTTTAGATTCCAAGTATATTACTGCTACTAGATTTCAGAATAAAACTCTGAAGCATTAGCTACCTTTGCTTATGCCTTAATAATCTACATGGCTTTTAAAAGTAACTATAACTATTTGCAGCAATAATTTGGTACCAAAGAGATAGTTATGATTAATCTACATATTCATGTCATTTGTCATGCACACTAATACAGTAATCACACCATAGTGTTGTTTTGTTGTTTTTTCTTAATCGTCAGATAAGCAAGACAATCAAATCAATCCCGCATTGCAATGATAGATTAGTATTTGATAAATCATTCCATTCAACCTATATGAAGACACATGAAACACATTAGCTGTGTATTCTATCACGTACAGTCATTTAAAATCTCCACAGCTCCAACAGTCAAGCTACAGACACAAATGCTAATGTTTCTTCACACTAAGTAACTTCTCCACTTTGGGGGAGGGGATAATTATAACTGAGGAAAATTAGCTGTTTTGACCAGAAATCTGTATGCCTGATGTGAACCATAATCAAGTAGAGTGTTATAAAGTATACTTGTATACATACTTGAAATGACCTATTTATGTGATACAGTTTATTTATATTATTGCCTACCTTTCAGGTTGCCCCAAATCCCAACTGAGTATCTGCGTTCTCAGTAAGCCCTTTACATTTAATACTGATAGTTATAAAAAATACTAAGAAAAACTTAATTTTTCACTGCCTTACTCCTTGCGTTATCTTTTAGATATGTCAGAAGTAATTGTGTAATGTTAATGCATCACAGTAGCCAACTGCACCACTATAGAAACTGATCTAGAAATTTGGCCCTACAACTGACAGGCAGCTTTCTACCTCTTCTCAGCTAGTTTGCCTTCAAGCTGACAATTAAAATCAAGTCTTAGTTTATTCCTGTATACCTACTTCAGCGGAAGAGCATAAAGTGAACTCCAAAAAAAGGGCAAAAATAAAATGTCAAAAAATCAGCTTATTCATTGCTGTTTCAGTCAACTACCAAATGGTGATGAAAACATTATATGTTAAGTCCAAATGACAGTGAGATGTTAACTAGCTACACCTAGAAAGCAATGCTTCCAGTATAACAAATTTATTAAAAGTTTTCATGTGTCAAGTTTATAAACATGTTTACAAATAACTAATGTTAGATCAAAGTCCTTAGTAGCTCTACCACCAAAACTAATAGTACACTATGCAACATCTCATGACATATAAAATACTCTTGCAATTAAGTTTCTCTTAGTTTTAAAGTGCTATTTGTCAAAATAAAATTGATGTACCACACCTAGCAAAAGTACCCACAGTTCTGGAAAAGGTTATGTCTTTTGAAAGTTAGAAAAGCTAGGTATTATTTCATAGACAGCTACTTTATTTTACTTATAACTTCAGCATTATTGCACAAAGTATATTTGGCAATGTTCATGTAGGGAAATGATCTACAAATAGCAATGGTTCAAAGCATATCTTCTGCAGTTCTCATCTCAGACAGCCAACTAGGAGGAAAGTAGTAATCATCAGTCACAATAGAGAACAGTTTCATTCTTAGAACAACAAGAAAAACTTCTGTACAATATTCATCTACAGGACTATTCATATTTCCTTACAAAACTACTTTAGCACTTTTTACTGTGCTAGAAAAGCATTCATTACAAGGACAGTTGTTAGCCCTAAGTGGCATCTTCTAAGACAAACTAAACAGAAATTGAAATTGAAGTCTTCAAGTAAGCAGTCTACCTTCCTTAAACTATATTTTGAGTAAATACAGAGAAAGCAACTCATACAAAGTAATATTGTGGGCCTTTAATCACAGGACTTCACAACTAAGGTTGAAATCTTATTCTATCTAGTAAGGTGTTGATCTTTTAAATACACTGCATGTTGCAAAATACTTGTGAAGAACAACTTTCATCCTTGCATTTACACCTTTGTAACGCAAGCTTTTAAAGTTATTAATGACATATATACTAGTTTCTGTATTTGAACAGAAATTCCTTTTAAAGTTAGGTAATATAACATACAAAGCATTTAGAATATTTGTGTTAGGACTGAGGGATTCAAAATAAGCTGATCTTTCAGTCTGTGGATTAAACGTTAAAAATGAAATTAGAACACAAGTGGAAACTCTGTTTAGAGAAATTCCCTAAAGGCATCAATACTACAAAATCAAATGTGGTCAGCTTCCCCAGTTACTTTTTTCAGTAGCAATGGACAGCATGCAGCTGACTTTTCTCCCTCTAACAATGGAGTTATTGTGCACAAACTTTTCAGGAAGCGTAAGATGTACTGAATGAATGAGTGCTTTAAATCCAGGCTTAGGATTAGAAACTCAAAATATATGATGTATGCTCTGAGCTCTACCACACAGCCACAATAAATGTATATTTTCTCTGAAAAACAGAGGCTGAGAGTAGGTTACTGCATACAGTACAGAGCTTGCTCTTGACTCTTGTTTTTCCAAAGAGCATCTAAGAAACATGAAAGGAACAGAAAAATCCCACTGTTCCTGCAGAAACAACTTGATCCTGGCTACAGCTTCTCTTTGGGGCACCACAGTTCTATCATCCTTTGGCCATACAGAAATCTGGATGTCTGGTTATGTGGTTACAGGCATGTGTGCGACTTGGCAAGTAAGCTGGATCTATCAATAAGAAACCATAAAATCATAAGGAATTAGGATTCCTAAAGGACTGCAGCCTCAAAAAGATCTTTACAAAAGTTTAAAATCGTGGAAGAGTCTTTTAAATATATTTAATAAATACTACAACACACACACAACAGTTGTGAGAAAGTTAACATGTATCTCTCTGTAGTTCCATGGAAAAATCATTAAATTACTTTTAAGCAAAAATCTAGAAGTTAATGAACTTTCATAAATTAAGTATTTTTACTAACACAGCTCAATCTGAATTGCTTGTCTAGATGCTTAATTTATACCATAGAGTAGCTTTTCATTATAGTATGTTTTTTTTAAATGTAAAAACTTCTTAATGCTTTCGAGAGAGAAATCATTTGGGATCTTACACTGAGTTTCAGAATTTTCTCCTTGCTTGTTGGAAATGAAAAAAAGGTTTTGTGTACTTTCTGCTTTGTGTAACAACCAAAGGAATTAAAATATTGGAAAGTGTCAGCAGTTAATAATAATCTGGGTAGTACAAGGTTGCTCAAAACTTTGACAAGATCGAAGTAACTAAAAAGGCACCTTGTAAGCGGCAATAAGATAACTGAATATTCCTAGAGGTACCAAAATGCTCTGAACCATCAAATTTGACTACCCACAGACATGAAAGGAAAATAAATACTGTGCATCACTTCAAAGCGTGCTATAGTGAGTATTTCTGAAGTTTTGAATACCAGCTGAAAAACTTGCATCATTAGGTGCTGCTCTCCTTAGCTTTTCTACTATACAGCAGACTGAAATAAAATACATATGTCATGGAATGGGAATTAATACAAGCCAGAGTGTTTTAAATGCTGGACTTCTTATGCCACTAGAATCACTACTAAATTACAGCTGTACCACAAGAATTTTGGAGTACGCCTCCTCCAGCTTAACCTCCTGCATATGAAGTTGCTGAAATGACTATCAATACTTTGAAGATTTTTAAAGGAATTCATTTGAGTATGAAGATGAATGTCTTCTCTCCTGAGCAGGCACTCTGCAAGTTCTACAGTCTTGTATCCAAGACTATTTTTGAAATAGGATATGGAAAAAAGAAACAATATCCATTGCTGACAGAAGAGATTTCCCCTGATATGGGGAAAAAATAAGATGACATACTTCTTTTGGAAGCAGGCAGAAAGAAAATAGAAAGCAGGTAAAAAGAAAGCATACATCCCCTGAGCTATATTAAAAAAAAAAAAAAAAAAAAAAGAGAATCCCAGAATCTGAAAAACAAATAAAACCACAATTCCCAACATCCTATTCTCCTCCAGAGGAAGTCTAAGAAAAGGAAAAGCAGAAAAGTCAAGATCTAGTATACCAAAAGAAATTTTACTTCAAGGATTACATATGAATGCTTTCTTTACTAGACTAATTCTGGTAATGGGGATCAAGTGGGAAATTATTTACTGAGTGAAAAGGAACAAACCTTCCCATAGGAAGAGGAGCTCAAGGAACAAGGTCAAACCATTACCAAGGTGGAGGGCAAGGGTTTAGTAGAAACACTTAAAAACATCTTACATGGAAACAAAGGCACTTCACATCATGGCTATATTAGTAAGACAGCAAAAAATGGCATAGTTGGCTTTCAGAAGACTACAGGAAGGAGGCCTAGACAATTTTAATTCTTATTTCACTTATCAAAAGCAATCTTTATCAAAAGCAAATATCTGAAGTTGCATCTTATAGCAGTCATTCACTCTTAGCTTTTCAGTGATATAATAATCCTGAGATCTAGTAAAAAAAAAAAAAAAAAGTTACATAATAAAATCTCTCCCTCCTCCTTCTGAGGATTCAATTCTCTTATCTAATGAAATCTTCCTACAGGTACAAGAGTCTTTTTAAGATGGAATTTGAACTCCACTACCTTTCTGCAAAGTGTTCTAAAGTGTGAAAAACACTTCTTGAAAAACAGACACTACCTTTTAAACAAAAGGAAAACGCCGTATCATCCTCCTGCTTGCAAAGTATATAAGGAGTAATAACCCACTTTCTGATTTGTTGCAGAAAGAGGTAAAAAAAAAAAATAATGGGTTAGTAATATATGCAAGGAGCTATTTTGACGGTTTATCCAGACATCACTGGAAGCGATTGAGACTAGCCCTTTTTCCACATCACAGATTCTTCTCTCCTCCTTCTTCCTATTCTTCTTGGAGTGCATCATTAACAAATTATTTGCAACAATTCTGGATGTGTTTTTTTTTCTCCAGTTGTACTTCACTGTTGCCTTTCCCCCTCCCCCCCTTTCTTTTTAAAGACTCAGGAGAAAAAAAAAGTGAGGAACTCCTCTTTCTGCACCTCAGAAGGCCTATAAATGTTATCTTCTCCCCTCAGCTCATCAGCTGAAGGTTCACTCAAATGTCCAACTTCAGTTGTATCTGCAACTGATCTGTATTAAAATATTTTCCTCTCAATTTCCTGACACACAAAATTATATCTGCACTTTACAGATGGAGACCGTGACATGCAGGAAAGACCTCCTCTTACTCTATTTATCAAAAACCTTTAAAACAAAGCAAATCCACGTGTTTGCTAGGAATATTATTCAGGACTATTATACTGCAATCTGATTGGTTTTATATCATAAATTATGTAATTAATCATAAAATGTCTGATTTGCAAGATATTCTCAATCAGCTTTATTTGGCAAATGATTTGTAGAACTTACCCTGTTACATTACAAGACTTACCCTGTTACATTACAAGACTTACCCTGTTACATTACAAGGCATTTTTTAATTTTCACGCACCCTGGAGTCTTTTCTTCTTTGCTGATTTTTTTCACTCTGTACTGTCGAATCTCTCGCACCAATGTATAAAAAGCATCCTCCACTCTCTGCATTGTAAAACACAACTCCTTAAAAACTGCTTTATTATCAATTGACATACTGGAACACCCATAGCAGAGGAAAAAAACACCGAAATTATGAGCTTTACTTGAGGAAAGTATATGGATCTCTAAATGGTCCACAGAAAAGCTGTGTTCATATTACGTCCAGAGATAAATATCAAAGATTCTGTCCATCAGAACAGCACAATGGAATAAAACTCTCAAAGATGTCACAGAATAAGCCACAGGACCTGCCTTCCTAGCTGACAAAATTTCTTTCTTACATAAGATCAGCCTTGCATTTAAGGTACAGTTTAAGATTTAGCCCAGTACCCAACTTCGTCAAGCAAACTTTTTTCTCCTCAATATATTTAAAATGCTGGGTCTGCATATTTGTTGCCTGATAACTACTTTTTAATGCAAGGAACTGAGACATGCCAAAGAATTTACTGCTGAGTAATTACCATGAAATCTATTCTTCGAGACTTTTCTTTTCCTGTGCCAGGTAGCACTAGGACAAAACAAAATAAGAGCAATTTTCTTCCATTTCTTCCAGTGCTGAAAATAACCGAGCTTGTATTTCTGAATCTTTTCACCCATTTTTGTGGGCATGAATGTATTTAGCAGGCACATAACCCTGTTAGATTAGTAACTAGGGGGTACTTGCACACAGTTAGCCAACTATTTTCACTTCTTAGCCAAAGTGAGAACCTGTTACTCTTTGGGCTGGCAAAGCAAGCTTGTTTCTTCTGTTCTTGAAGTACTTGAGTTGCAAAGATCTGTGCCACAAGCTAACAAAGTATAGAAAAATTCTAAATCAGGCATTTTGTAACAGGTTACAAATAAATTCCCCTAAGAATACTAAATTTCATTATTGTTTTTAAAGCTCCTTATAGAGCAAACACAATGCTTCCAGATGTAGGACAGTGAATATTTGAGTCACAGCAAAGTGCTTTTTAAGAAGCATCTGAAGTATATCTATTTCAGAATAACTTTCAAAGTAAATACTTATTGTAATTACAGAGGTTATTTTTCCATGCAGACATAGCAACAAGTTCATTACTGATAATGTTTAAGGGCTTAGTTCACATCCACACAAAAGGCTCAACCACTCTGCTCTTTCTGGGCTACTTCAGCACCTGTCCGGGTAGATAACAACACTACGTACAAACAGCCTGTGATGCTCTGCTGCTTGCATCTTCCTTTGGTTAATGGGAGCTCTTCAGGCATGCCAGAGCAGTGTTTCACTCTCCCTGGTCTCATGCCTTACCTTTCTGCAGCTATGTGTTTATATCACTTAGAGATGCTGAGGACTGAAGAATGGTGTTAGCAAATACAAGATGAAAAGGTACAGCGCCAGCTTCAAGTTGGTGTTAAGGTGTAGCTGTGGCTTTTAAAGGGGATAGTAAATCTTTCATTTGCCTTCCTGTCAGTTTCATCACTTGTCTCCTCAGTCACATCGACTGTTGTTAACTTACTATAAAGGTCAATAATTGGAATAACAGTGGAAGAGACTGAAGATCAAGGAACACAGTACAACCATGTAAGCCCCCAAAACATCAGGATTATCCAAACACAATCCAGGCAGTTTTTCCTTAAGTTCTCTCTCCAACCCATCTTTGTATTATACAACTCGTAACAAATATAATTAACATTTACTGCTGCAGTTACTGGGTCATTTTGCTTGATCTGTACCATCGGTTATCATATTTCAGACTCATTCTTAACGCACAGCTGTTTATCTGAGGGTACGTCTGACCTACAGCCATACCAATTTTTAATATTAAATGGATTTTATTTGAATTCTTGGATTGTATCTGTTATGCTAACAGGACATGTTTTGTATGTTAGACAAATTCCTAAGTTGTCCTATATTTCAGGCCTGAAAGTTCGCAAAATTTAAAAGAGCCATCAAAAACAGAAAAAAAAAAAAAAAAAAAAAACCACAAGTAAAGCTCATACTTTCATGTTTTCCTAGAAGACATGGAAACTTATTCCATTAAAAACAGGAAAGAGTAAACATTGATCTGCTGCTATGTGCCAAAGTACAGCCTGTACAAGAATCAACGTTTTTGCAAATTTACTGTTTTGCAGTAGAAATACATAATTTGATTATGGAGCTTACACATGAATAAATCGATAATTCTTCACTTAAAGTTTATTGCCAAATTCCCCATCACCATCAGGAGCTGTGATTTGCTTTAGCAATGCAGAGAGAGGGAGAGAGACAGACAGAGTAAGAGAAGAAATTGCTACTACTGCCACCATCAAGAACAGTCTTATGAACGCTATTGAGAGAAAACTGTATACAAAGAAAGACATTTGCTAATTTCATTATTACAAGGTGACATTTTTAAAGAGCCAGGTGCCAGTTTTAAAAATAAGTCATTTTAACAGCAATTTATTTTAATAGCTCTCAGTATTTTTTCCTTAAATGAACCTGCCTCACACATCTGGAATATAATCAACCAGTCCTTTTAGCTGACATAAATGGAATTAAGAATATCCTTTGGCAAATATTAAAAACACAATAGCAGTTTAGATGTGAACAGCCTGAAGAACCCATGACCTCTAGGACAATGTTGCCCTAGATGCTTTTGACTTAGAAGATAATCTTTCTTTGCAAGTAAGCATATTTTAAAATGAATGTTTGGCTACTTCAATAAGAACCAAAGCATAACCAGGAATTTTCACCTGTTCTGCTTCTATAAATAGTGCTTAAAAGAGATTAATGAAGGTTAACCTTGAACCTCAAAAGCATTCCATTCACCTTTATACACCTTATAAGAGTTGGTATCCTAAAACCAACTATTATACAAACAAAAGTATTCCTGTGGACATGGACAAAGAGAATTATCCTCACTTGCGTAACAGTACACCTGACAAAACTTTGCAGATACAAAGTCAGTTCAGCCAATACATGGCCTGCAAAAACCTACTAGCTCCTGCTACATGAGGTTAAGGCTCTTTTTGTTTTTGCTGTCTATAAATACAATGCCTCAAAGGACTATTTGGAAACTGTTACTGCAACTCAGCCACATGCAGAAGTAACTTTCACTAGTTGGGGTGGTAGCATTTATTTAAAGTTGTGTTATCTTATAAAGGTTAAATACCAGACGTACATCACCACACTCACATAAAATACTGCACAAAATCAGAATTGCAATTACAAATTTAACCACTCGAAAGTTAAGAAACACCAGAATTACAGCTGTCTGTCCTACCTGAACCTTCACCATTGTTATACACATGTACCCCTTTTTTGGCTGCCTCTATTTATGTTGTTAGGTAAACAGCAAAACTGTTTTCCTCAGCATCCTGGAGTAATTCAGCACAGATGTTGGATGCCAAAGTTCTGTTCCAACATTATCAAAAGGTTTTCTTTTTCCTGAGGCCTTGTCCTT